TCTTCAGTCATAATTTGTATACTCTCGTTTTCAATAGTAGGGGCGTTATTTTCTATTTTCTTTTTCTTTTTCATCAATTTAGAACTTTAATTTTTATTGTTGACTTAATTTACTTTTATTTTGTCAGTATTTTTCATTGTTTGGGCAAAGCATTTTCTTAGACAAAAATAACAACAGCTTTTATTGGTTTTTTGGTCCATTACGAAACACTTTCACATTTGTTCGTGATATTTATATATTATTTCGGCCCAACTGTTCTTGGGCCCATTATCGCCCCAGCCCTACTGTACAACTTGACAAACTGGGGGAGAATTTGGATGGAAATCAAGGTTGTTTTTGTGGACATGTTTTTGGTGTGAAACTTGAGGGGACATTACGATAAAGGGACATTGGTTATTAGGTTATGATTTGCACTTTAAGGCAATTAACCACAGGCCAGCCGTGGTGGTTTTTGAAAATTATTTTTTTCCTGCAAACAGGGAGGGATTTATTTTTCATTTATCAAATTGATATCAAACCACATCTAGAGCAATGGGGAAAAGGCAGTTTTGACAGGAAGGGCCAAAAAACCAAGAGTATCTTTTTGTAGCTTTGGACCCCATTGTTGGGCATGGTGCAGTGTTTTCATTTCAAAGCTTTAGATTGGCTTGATTATCAGGATTCCCATTAGTCTCTTCAAGGGGAGGGGGACATGGGTGCGGGCGGGTGCGGGTGGAGTGTCCGGGGGTGGACGCCTAAGGATGGATGTAGGGGGGATTCTTACGTTTGTGCAGGGTTTTTTTTTGCCATGCAGTGGACAATTACTTACGCCTGGGGAATTATGGAGGAGTCCCTTGCTATTTTGCCAAACAAGACACCGCCTAGAGATATGTGGTCGGTCGCACAATCAAAGGCTGGGGTTTCAAATCTAAGATATCATTACAGAAAGGCCTCGTAAGAGAACATTCTTCGACAGAAAACAAAATTGAAGGCTCACACTATATTTTAAAACAACACACATTGGATCATGTTGAAAATTAAAACAATAAACAGAACCTTTACTGCCAAAAACAGAGGTAGAATACAGGCCGGATTAATGCTCGTAAAATACATTTAAGTATGAAAGCCTTAAAGCTTGACCTATAGCTACTATTTTTCTAATGGTGGGGGGCTGGCCTAGATCCCATTACCGCCTTGACTGAAATGACGGTTGAAGCGCATCAGAGAAGGCTTGAAAGCGTCCATCACCGAGACGGTTCGTTTTGGGGTGAGCACAGATTCAAGACTGAAAAGTCCTTTCTACGGTGGCACTGGATGGCGTTGGGCATTTTACAGCGGAGTGCGATTTTTTTTAATTCTTGGAAAAACTGGTGGCCAGACTTGCCGGTCCATCGTAGGGGCAGAATTTGAAATAAGACAATTACCTCTGTTTCCACAGACATGGGGCGCGGGTATCAGCTGTCGGTGGTAAACGAGGCTGTAATTAGTCAAGAGGCAAAAAAAAATTCCTCTTCGCTGGGGAGGCAACAGCAGCGGTTAATTTGAGGGACACTTCGGTCCATGAGGGCTGCAGGCTCTCTTGTGGTTGTTAGGGAACGACCACTTCTGACATGAGGAGATGTATCTTGACGATATAGTCTCTTCTGGCTTCTTCTTTTACCAACGCAGCTTAAACTAAGGCAGTGAGACAGCACAGCGGCAAAGCCAGCGCTTCCTTGGAGTCAATTTATTGCGGCAAATCGAGTTTTGATTGGTCTCCACAATAACTAACTTTCAGGCAGCCCAGTGTGGTCATTTGCTGATAGGCCGTTTTCATTGCTAAGATTTTTCCCAATTGAGAAACTTCTAGTGTTGGTTGAAGCGTTCCATTAAAAACAAGGTGTCCTCACCCTGTAAGATATCCAGATAGTGCAACTGTGAAAGGCTTCATAATGGAAACAGTATTCATCTTCTGAACAGAAATTACGGTAGGACCCTGACGAGAGAAAATGCAGTACTGTTCCATTATGAATGTCTTTCCACTACGTTCATTTGGATATTCAGTGTGAAGATCACTTGATGTTGTTAGGGGAATATGCTGTGATCCGAGAGTAGGCGTCAAGTTCGATTCCTTGTTATCTGCAGAACAATCAACTCTTCTGGACCTAACATGAACCTCTTCCAGGAAACTCTGATGCGACACTTGGATGCGGACCGGCTCGCCAATCGACCCAGAACGCTGAAACATTGGCTGTAGCACTACTGGATACAGAGCTCTAGATCTACGTAGATGACAGCACATTTACTTTCAACTCTCATGGTTCGCAATTATATTAAGCGTTATGGGCTGCGGATCTATGATGGGCCAGGCTAGTTATAGATTAAAAACAGACCGTTCAACTTTCCAAAGGAAGTCGCTGCTTGCTCTTCCGCTCTCACAACACTGCCGTAAGTTCTGAGCTGCCGTTGGTTAAAAGGAAGAAGGTCCAGAAGGAGACTGGATATCAAGAGTACTCCTCATGTCAGTGTCTCCCTAACGAGTACACAGACCCTGCAGCCCTCATGACCCGATGTTCCTCAACCTGCTGCTTGTTGCCCTCCAGCGGAAGAGGATTTTTTCATCTGCCTTTGGAGACTTACATGCACCACCGAACTTGTACACTGTCCACATCCTTCCCACGCTGATGCGCCATTCCTCATGTCATCTGTGGGGAAACAGAGGTATGCCTTATTTCAATTTCTTTAGCCTTGACCTACGGGAATCCGCGAAAGTCCGTGCACCGAGGTTTCACCCCCCCCCCAAGAATTTCTTAAACAAACTCGCACCTCCGCTGAGTAATGCCCAACTGCCATCCAGTGCACCGGTTTATGAAAGGACTTTTTCCAGTCTTGGAAATCTTGTGCTCACCCCCAAAACGCAACCGTCTCGGTGATGGACGCTTTCAACGCCTTCTCCTGATGTGCTTCAACCGTCATTTCAGTCAAGGTGGTAGTGGAATAGGCCAGCCCCCCACCATAGAAAAATAAGTAGGCTATAGGTCAAGGCTTTAAGGGCTTTCATACTTAAATGTATTTTACGAGCATTAATTGGCTGTATTCTACCTCTGTTTTGGCAGTAATAGGTTTCCTGTTTATTTTTTTTATTTTCAATATTCCAATGTGTGTGTTAAATATAGTGGAGCTTCATTTGTTTTGTGAAGTATTTCCTACGAGGCCTTTGTTTGTATTTAGATTTGACCAGACTTTGTTTGGTAGCCTATGTTCTAGGCGTTGTTTGGCAAATAGCAGGGCTCCTATTTTTGGCCTACGTTGCATTTAGTAGCAATCTTAAGCAATGTTTGGCTTACATGTTAATAGTGTTGGACTGAAAATGGCTGAGCCGTAAGCTATTCCTTGAGGCCTAATCCTTTTCATATTTTTGATAAAGCTTCTTCTTTGTCCACTCAATACATTCAAACTTCTTGTGCTTGGAACTTGAATTAAATAAAAGAAAGTAGCTTGGTTGAAGCGTTCCATAACAAAAAGAAAAATATATTGCACATAATGTTATAGATTTCATTATAGTGAGCTCTAGCTCTATTGTATTTAATATATATAGGCCTAGACTTATAAATATTGACAGTATCTCGACTATAATTGACCAGACTTTGATCCTTTGTCTGCTTTAAATAAGTTTATAAGTTGTTAATAGCCTTAAGGGCCTACACAGTTGTTATGCTATACTACATTGCCCTTCACTGGATGTATAATGAGCTGCACTAAACTACATTTTAGCATTTAAAATA